GGGAGGGAGGGAGGGAGGAATGTATCAAATGGATCAAAGTATTGCGTGTACTTAAAACAAACTGTATTCTGAGAAGTGCTAAATTTTCCGAAAAGGCAGAGGTGTTTATTTGTTTATTTTACTTTTAGTATGATACGTACTTTCATCATGCAAAATTTCAAAAAATCCAACGATGGCATCTTTTGCCCTTGAAGGTTCATCGATATGATGACTTAAGTTCATAATCACTACCTGAGCGTAAAGTACATGATTGGCTTCACGATCTCATAAAAGGGGGGCATCTAAACTATAGCGTTTTCGGCATGGCTTCCACTCCAAAACGATCAAAAACGTAGATAAGATCAGAAATGATGCAATATCGTCATCTGCGCAGACGAAGAACAGACGTGCCGATGTAAATGACGTCAACGTTTTTTCAAGAGCCTCGGTTTCTGCAGTCCACACTAATACGGCAGCCTCTCCACGCTGAACGACGTGTTCAAATGTCACTGAGTTTTTTAAATTTGATGCGTAGAAGCAATACCAAAACGCATCGAAAAGAATGCGTTATCAAAACAAAACGAATCAGTGTGTACGGAGTCTTTATTCATTTATTTTTTATTTTGTAATTTTTTATTTCGTAATATTTTTATATATTCAGTTTTTATGTTTTATTTTTTATTTTTGTTTTAAACTTAATTTCGCCGGTCGATTAATGCGATTGATTGAGCAAACAATATTGATATTTTTTAAACAGCAAATCTTTTTGACAACATAGAAAAAAAAAAAAAAAAAAAAAAAATTAGAGTATTCATGCTAGTCTTCTTTACAGCTAAGCTATAGCTATTGCGTTGTGTATGTCGTCGGCCTTTACGCTTGAGTGTAATACATATCTAATTAGGAAAGGAAAAACAAAGGGTCATACTATTAGAGTTTTTAAACGTATCTGTTTCTTTTATAGGAGCAAATATACTGAATCTTGAAAATAATCCTCGAAGAAACTACTTGGAAGTGCTCGGTGTGAAAGCATCTTTTCTCCAAAATGCAGGTAACTCGTATCTCGTATTCCATTACTTTTAACGATAGTGAATTGAAAAGTGAGCTGTTCACATCTGGTACATTTAAAATAAGTAATAGTTTTTCGTCGAGTTACCTCGATGTGAGATTTAGCATGCATTCAAGGTCGTAAAAAGACGCAATGAAAAGCGAATGTTATCCACTTTTGCAGAAAGACTTGTGCGCTTCAACATTTTTGTTTCGTTATAGTCACGTGACTAGGATTTTGCTTCCTTCAGTCAACACATTATGAGGTACACGTTTTGAACATTAATGACTGAATAGAAAAGTACTTAGTCTCGTAGACATTAAAACTCTCCCGGAGTGATGTCGTTTACTGTCAAAGACTTAATTATCGCGAACGGTTATATGTTACTTTTTCCGAGTTCGGTATCTGTGCGTTTTGATTCCCGCGGTCCACTACTCGAATAAATTTTGCTTAACAACTAAAAATGGCTAAAAAAGATAAAAAGCAAATGGGAAAAAACAAACAAACAAACAAACTTAAGTCATTTACCGTCCATTTACCTCGGCACAGTTCTTCCCTAATCCAGACCTTCTGGCTAGTAAATATCCTCTATTTCTATATATATGACCTATATCTGACCTAGCCAGAGGAAGGGGAGGGTGAGGGAAGGGGAGGAGGAGGGGGATATTGGGATACCAATAATATTTTCCCTCTATGATACCAATATTCTTCATCATTACATGACATCATAGCTTATTAAGCAAGGTCTCTTAAGCCGTAAGTCAGACATTGTTGGACCGCACACTAAATTTTAAGAAAACCACAGATACTTCACGGGTTCAAATCCCGTTCAAGATTCAGAGTTTTTTCTGAGTCTTACAATTAGCAATATTAACTTCATAAGTTGCTTGATATACTGTGCAATTGGATATGATTTATACCCATACATATTATCTAAGATATCAAATATTTGGGTTAAAAATACCCTGATACCAATATACCCGAAAACCCTGGCCGGGTCTGCTATATATTCTGCATGATTCATTATTTGGTCTTATTTTTGGAGTGATTCCTGATTTGATTCTTGCACTCACACTAGTACCCCATTCTCCATCGGTCACCAGCAGAGCCTCATCAGCTAGGGATGAGGGCAAAACAATTGTCATCTCACGGTACCCGATTTAGGGGGAGGGGTGGTGTTACCCGGTACCCACCACCTCTGGAAGGAAAATCTTAGATCTCGTCTCCAAATATCTCCAAAACTAAAAGCCAAATCACAGGAATGAATGGACTGCCTATCTGCATGTATGCTAAAAAACATGTTTTTGTATAAAAATTGCACTACAGATCCCCAGTATCAAGCATTTGAACAGGTCTCTGAGGGGGGAGGGGGTATGTACCGGTACCCACCACCCTAATTCATAAAATCGCGTTCCTATTTTGGACCATTGTTTTGACCTCATCCCCTAATGCGTCAGTACGAAACGCCAACTAATCCTTTGGATTAAGCTTAGGATTAAAACGTTTAATCTTTAATATCAATTTTTCAGTGTAGATTTCGGGGTTCGGGTCTTTGTAATAGTTGTTGTGACACTAATTTTTACTACGTGCGAATTCCAGAGGAGGATCTAGGTAGGGCCGTAACCAGGGGGGCACAGAGTGCACGTGCACCCCCCCCCCCCCTTAAAAGCTTAAGGTCCGGTCATCTATCTCCTTTTGCTTTAAAACTGCATGTAAATGTTTTTTGATTAAATTAAAACCACTTTCCATCTGCATATTGTAGCAGTTTTAAGATACACTCACCCATTATTTCCTTTTTTTTGGCTCTGCTTTTTATTTTGGTTACCTTTTTTTTTTTTTGGTTCTGCAAATCATTGCCTGTGAACCTCTGCCAGATCCCTGGTTACGCCCCTTCCAGGGCTATCCCAAGGTCCTTATTATTTTCGATTTTTTTTTTTTTTTTTGACAGATGAGTAATTTTTTAATAAAAAAAAAAAAAAAAAAAAAAAAAAAAAAAATCATACTTTACTCGCAATGCACTATGGAATAATCCTGGATCCTCCTGGTGCGAAAGCAAATCGTACTGAATTAATCAAATCATCGATTAGTTATCATTACTATATTACCAATAACTCCATGCAGTTCGGCCAGCAATCAGACCAACATAAATTAGCTTAAATTCGCGGATCGTTTTAAAACGATCCTGCATCATAAAAAAGCCGGCCAACAGCCCCATTCTTTGTACCGCTCTCCTAGTTCGATGCACCAGTTAGACACCCGTAGAGTCCAACTCTTCGTCAAAATCGTCATAGCCCTCATGGACCACTGGCATTCTCGGGGTTCTCCTGTCTTTCCGGAGAACCATTTCAAGCAGTCGCAAAACTACAGTTTATCATGCACGGCAACTCCAGCTCGGCTAGGAATGATTATTCGTGGTCACTGAATGGAACTGTAAAATGGAGTATTGGGTGCATAGAAAATATTATTAATGGCACCCCTCCCCCTCCCCCTTCATGACAGCTTCCCAGTTAACTCTGTTGGTCGCGTGGCGCACCGGACGGACCAACACTCAGGGTCCCAAAATATCTGAGTAGAGGTACTGTCTTTACTATAAATATATCTGCAAATGGTTAGACCTTCGTCGTGGCTGGACCACGTAAAAAGGCAGTCCCGTCTCATTCAGAGACGTTTAAAAACGTAGAAGGTCACAAGTTTATCAGTGCTAATAATGCGCACTAAACTGAAAACAGAAACATTCTGATGGCAAAAAGTGAACTTTTAAGATCGATACGAAATGAGGCTAGCTCTGAGTAAACGAGTCTGTGATAATGGAACACAGCGATATTTGATTAATTCGAAAACAGTCTATTGAGCCCCCGGCCTTCCCCGCTCCGCTGTCCCGTACAGTCCCTATTATAGGCATTACGAAGTTATAGCCTGCGGTTGGACGCGAAGTTTATTGGTTCCTGAAAACGAGGTTTTAAGTTATTCACCAGATGGTAACCCAGACTAGCTATCGAACAGCGCCTCTAACCTCAAGAGACCCTCAAATAAGTTAAGTTGTTTTCAAGCTAAGTTAAGTGCATCTTGTTTGGATTTCAAATACTGAGGCATCCAATGTTGATTTAGAAAACACGCAAGCGAACTTAAGATGTATTAAGTGTGTTATAACAACAAAGGCTTTGCCTTATCTTTCTGTCTCATTTCGGTGACCGATTTGACCGCGTTATGCTTATTGTAAAGTAGGATCACAAGAGTATTGGAAAGCTTGTTCAATTTGGTCCGTTGGTACTAAATTCTCTTACGATATTATAGTGGGATTATTAAGTAACATTCATAATGTAAACCGATCTACCGTTATGTGCATCAGTTGCTTTTTGAAAATCTGTTTTAGAACCTGCGCAAATAACTCGTTTTCAATACACGTAATCCTCATAGTATTGGTAGTGAACCGTTATCATTTAGAGCCAGATAGTGTACCTTTGATGCAAATCGAGTCATGGAATGTAAAACATTTTCCTCGCACTCCCATTATTTGATGTATAGTTTTTTCCCTTCGCGTTGGCTCGAGTTGGCTTCGAGTTGGCTCCCGAGTTGGCTCGGCCTTTTTTCGTTCGTAAACACCTCACAGTTATATTCGCCTGCTAATGACCAAGTGGGTCCCATCAAAAACGAAATACAATTATACCTCTAGCGGATCCCTTACTAGCCGTATACCCTTCATTTAACAAATAGTTGCATGGTTCCAAAATACCCCACGCAACTGCACCCCATTTATTTTAGACCAAACCCCGCCCCTTTTACTATAGACGCCTTGCATGTGACGTCAAAGCAGCTCAATTTGGAGGACAAATGAACGAATTCAAAAGGAGGACAAATGAACGAAGGAATTTCAATCTCATGAGAATTACCCTTTTCCACTATGACGTCAAATAAAAAAAAATCTATTGTTTAAACGCAAAGGATTATGGTCGGAGGAGGAGGTCAAATCAACGCAAATTCACCAAAAATTGTTCTAAAACTCGTATCAATCCACGAAGAGAAGTAGTAGAATAGCCAGAAAACTCTCAGAATATTTTTAGTACATATTAACACATATTATATCTGAAAACCAGGCCATTTTAGATTAAATTTCTATTGGATTTGGCGATTCTATCCCCCACATAAACAAGCAGTGACGTCATAGTGAAATAGGGCAATTGGAAACCTATCGTAATGTCCTCCAAATTGAGCTACATTCCGACGTTCTGCGAGGGGTCTATTCAGCTGACACTCTAAAGTGCCCGCTTAATAGACAATAGAGGTACCACTGTATTTACAGTAACTGACGAACTCGTGTTCAGCGGACACCATGGAAGGTCCCGAAGGTGCCCGCTGTATAGAGGTATCACTTTATTTAGTGTAAAGCGAACCCGTATTCAGCGTACACCATGGAAGGTCCCGAAGGTATCCGCTTTATAGAGGTACCACTGTATTTACTGTAAAGCGAACCCGTATTCAGCGCACACCATGGAAGGTCCCGAATTGAAGGTGTCCTCTTTATAGAGGTACCATTGTATATGTATGGCATTTAATGTAAAACGAACCTGTATTCAGTAGACACCAGGCAAGGTCGGTCCTGAAGGGGTACCGCGCATAATAGAGATGTGACCACTGATGTGACTCAGTAAACATTACATTTTTTATGACCCCCTCCCACTCCTCTCCCTCGACTCAACACACCCTCGGCTCGGGACCGTTATTCAGACACTCTATTAGAGAGGAGCTCCTCTCCTTTTCCCCCATCCTCCAACACTCACCGGCACTGACGTGCGCTCTGATAAAAAATGAGCAAATAAAGACTCATGATCGATTAACAAGAAATGAGTTAGAGTTTGAACAAGCGTACAAATGGAACTTTTAGTCGCAAGTCTGAAGAGCATTTATTCTGAATAGACTCTTTTCGAGTTCCAAATTACCTCTGTGTTTATTGATTACAGACTCATTTACTCAGGCTTAGCCTCGATTTTGTGAAGAATATTCACGTGTTCCAGTCAAGGCCCGTCAAGTTTCAAAGTGTTCGTAAGTTGAAGTTGTGCATTCTTTACTTTACCGTTAGTATTTGTGAATATTTAGACACTGATACAAGGTTAAGCCTGAGTAAATGAGTCCTTAATCAAGAAAGACAGCGGTATTTTGGAACTCGAAACTGGACCATTCTGAATGCTAATAAAAGGGAGGGCATTTCCTGTAAGAACCAAGGGAGGATCCAGGAATTTGGAGAGGGGGGTCAAAACGTTGAAAGGGGGTCCAAACGAGTATTTCAGTCATACTAAAATTTACTGTGGCAAAACTGAAACATAGGATAAAACAGTCAATGAACCTCAGGTATGCCAGTGGGGTCCTGCCTCCTCGACCCTCCCCAGACCCTCCCCCTGGATCCGCCTTAAAAAGAGCCGCCCAAACCCGCCATTCCTTTTTTGGTTTTTATTCCATTATATTTATCTAATTTGCTCGGCGGTTTGAATTAATTAGTGCACATGTTTTGCTGATAATTATTAGAAGACTTTGAAAGCTTTGAACCAGTTCAGGAATTTTTTTGCTATTTCCTGGGTTTTTTATCAGCAGTACCACACATTCTTCCAGACGAAGAACCAGCCAAGAATCTAAATATTTTGAATGCTAATGAATATCGTACGTGAACTGGAACAAGTGATACTCATCGTTATATTAAATCGTTCAATGTTTAAAATGAATGGAATAAATTAAGAAATGAATTATTCCTAAGTGAAAATAAGATTTTTTCCCAAAAAAATGATAAAAGGTTTCGAGCAAAGGCCGCAAAAAATATCCAAAGCTATAAATTGCATAAAAGTAAATTTCAAAATTAATTTTATCGAAATTTGAAGAGTTTTCTTGGATTTTATAAGAAGGAATATGATGGAATATGAAATTTCCCCTTGATTTATCTTACTCAAATAGCTCGCATACTTGGTCCGTAATGAATATTAGTGTTATACTGTTGAAATTGTCAGCCAATCAGATTAAACAATTCATCCTCTGGCATTCTTTACGCCTCGAACAGACCGAGTCTCAAGTGACCGATTTCTCATCAAAATAAAATTCAACAGGCTTGCAAATGTTGCCTTGAAATAGAACATGGACTTGAACTTCCGCTTGTAGTCTAGTATTTCTTGTACTACCTATAGCGTATGCAAGCATGTGGCTAACACTGGACTATTTTTTGCAACCATTTTGTGTTCCTTAGCTCAAACACTCAACATGGCTGCCTGGGCTGCTGTTCCAAGCACGAAACCTAATGGAGATAAGGTCAGGAAACGTTCTTTTTCTGGAGGGCTGCCTATGTTAAATCGAAGTGGATCAATGGCGGACAAAACTCTCCTTGGGGTGTTGAACATCCTACGGATGGACGAAGAGGCTGCAAACACATTCTTAGTGAGGACCATTCTTCCTGACGGCAACTTACGTCTGGTAAGAAGATCTATGTCATAGTAGTAATTACTGTTAGCATAGCTCGAATGCTCGAGCCTAACACACTTCTATTCTATGATTGCTCGCTCCTTCGTACTCTAAATAATGTCGACGATCACAGAAAATTAGAACCGAATATCATTACGTCGAGGTAAATTCCACTTTTAACATATAAAGGGTTTTCCGTGTGGAATATTTTGACGGGAATGATTTTTGTTCTGTGGATTCGGCTCGTTTGATAAATACATGACTTGGCCCCGAGATTCCAAGAGATGTTTAGAGTATTTTATCTGCTGCAAGATCATTCAGTTTAGCTAACTATTCATGCGATGCTTTCCTCTTAACATGCGTGATTAATACGTTTATTTGGAAGTTTACGCTCGCGTTAAGCAAACCTTGTCTGTTGGTGTACAAATTGAACACGAGAATGAAAATATCAAGATATTTTTTGAGGGCTTGTGGCCTCGATAGGCGAGAAGTACGAGCTATTTTCTTATCAGATGTAGAGATAGCAGGATTTAGTAAGACTAGAACAATAATGCAACCTAAATATTTAGCATGTTCCAGTCTATGTTTATACGTAAAATTTAATTGTTTCAAGGACGCACAAAATTGATGGTCAACCCAATGTATCCTCGACATCTTTTTATTTTTATATTCGTGCATTAAATGTTTTAACAGAGCTAGATATCTGAAATAATTTGCTTTTCTGATATAGAAATCAAATGCATATCTACTTATAATACGTCTGATATCAATTGTACACAAAAGTAAATTTATTTAGACACAATTTTCTATTAGGATATTTTGGACATTTAGGAATGTTACACACATTTGCTTTGAAATTTGCCCCGTATAAAAAAAATCACTTCTTTATACTTAAATATGCCCTCAGCGTCGTTCGAAGCCTGAGGTTTGGTTTGTTTATGTTTTCTCGTAAATGAAATCGTCGGCCTTCGGCCGGTTCATCGTCTACATCATCGATACTTACTACTAAAGTCAGAATTTCAAACGCAGCTTGAATTTCAAGCTACAACGAGACAACTTATATTATATATAATGTAATATATTTGTTAAACAATTTGTAGTTTGCGTAGTAGTTTCTTTTTTTAACCGCGAAGCTCACAAACTTTAATCGTGAGAGCTGCGCCTTTTTGACCTGTGCAATGCTTGCGGTTTTCGACCTTGAAATTAACATAGTCATTATTTGACACTTAAATGCTCCGCAACCGAAACATTTCGGCTCCGAAATTAGTTCAAAACCCATCATTAATCACTATAGGTTAGTTTCTCTCTTATATCTTACGGTTTAAGTCACATCTTGATCCCCACGCAACAGTTTAACAAGAATCATTTTATAGAGTAAAAAATTTATCGATGAATCCTTATTTGGCCTTTAAAGATTTTAGGATCGTATCATTGGTACTCAACAATTTTTTTACTAATCCAGAGTGATATTGGAGCTGAATCATGATAGCATACAGGAAGTAGAGCAATTATGTAAAACAAAGTATTCAAATGATAAATTACCGGTCCTTACTACTGTCTCTATTGTGTACCATAATTGATATAAAGAGGCTCTTATTTGAGGGATTTGAATAGTATCTTAGCAGCAGATCAAAACCTATGGTCTCACAAAAACTCTTTGAAATTTGACTTTGTAAAGTGGGATTAAAATAAGATTTGTCCAATGCAGATAAAGGATTGTATGACAAAACAGTAGTGGATATACATACAACTCTCCTCTTGAAATGAAGAGGTTGAAAGGAAATCAGATGATTCGAATCACTCTTTTGAATTTTTGTTTTCAGTGTATCTTTCTTTTCAATAAATGTCTCTGAAGTAAGATTGAATTTAAAAAATCTAAAACTCTAAATATGAAAAAAAAATCTACCCCATACATATCATACATATAAAGCCACATCATGTTTCAACCTAATATTATTATGGTAAGCTTATCTTGAGATTATTTGTACAGATTGACACTGTTCTAATTGCACAATTTAAATTTCCAATGATAACAAACAACCAGCTGCAATTTATCATTCTACTTATTTTTTTAGGCCAGAAATGTGATAATATGAAGTATTTTGCAAATCTTGTCTAGTTTATAACACTGAATAAGTGAGGTAAAGTTGTTATTTTTTCAATGTTCAGTTTTATAAAATTTCGCAGGTTTTTTACGCATTTGTATGTGAAGCTTTAATGGCATAACACAAAGGTTTTAATATTCTACCTGCAGCAATAATAATAATAATATAATAATAAGCTTCAATGATTTTACCATTTTTGAAAAATATATGAATGCCTAAAAATATGGTAAATACAATGTACAATAAGCGTATGTATAAAAAATAAAAAATAAAAAAAATAAACCAAAATAATAAAAAGAGCAATTTAATATTTGCACCACATATGTTCCATTAATGAGATATATACATTAATTATATCAATTGATTAATTATATAATCAATATTAAATATATTTTATATGATACCATACATAAACTATACTTACCTCATGTTGACTCACCCACTGTCATCATATTTCTGGAGTATTGGTGTGGCCACTTACATCAACATTTTTCTTTTGGACTACCTTTTGCACATCTTTACTATAACAAAATGTGAGCCCACGGCGAAGGGGTATCCTAAATGAAATGCATAAAGATATATTATGCATCGTAATTGTTTCTTTTGCATTAAAAAAAGGAAAAAGGAATTTTTCCAATAGATGATAGATCAAAGTTTACTAAGGGAGCATTCATTTTTAGCTCGTAAAGAGCTATAGAGGTGGCTAGATTTCAGCCAATCGTTTTGGGTAATTTCTGTAAGAATCCACACACATTGTTTGCAGAGGAAGCCATTTTGGATTTTCGATCACTTGATTATCAGCAGCATATTTTGAGTATTCTTAGTTTACTTTATGCTCTTTTTATTGGACCTTGAGAATGAGATATTGTATTTACCATTCAGTTGGAAGAAGAATCCAAAAACAGCCTGGTTTGTCATATATTGGTTGATTAGACTTGGTCCAGATAATCTCAATCATAGAAAATTTCGTAACCAGAAATCGAGAAAAGAAAGGATTGTAGCCAATCCGAAGCCAATAATTTAATTGATAAAGACAACAGTTTGTTTGCTCAAAACATAACTCCAACTATTGCCTTACTCGGGTCTCAATACCCTCAATGAAATGAGTCAACAAGTGTCATTTGTTATCATCTTAGTTCATTGGTACTCAAAAAGCTTCATGAGCTTGCCATGGGTTACCTTAGATTTAGAAGGGCGAGTAGGCCTGAAAAATAGATATTAGAGTATATGCCCAATTTGCTAGCCCATTGCTGGCTTAGTTTGGAAATTTTAGAATGGCCCCCAATACCTAAATGAAAAAATTGCAAAATGCAAGGTTATTAGAAACAATCAGTGGTTCCCTTTTTCACTTGTAAATATTTGATGCCCTCCCCTTAATTCCTCCAGCCCCCTCCCCCTCCTAAAAAATGCATGCTCCCTAATGTAAGCGGATTTTGTAAACTTTCATTTTTGAATTAACTTTCGTTATAAAATATCTGTCATAAATCTTGTGTTCTGATTGGTTGGGAACGTGTGCCTTATGAGAGCATACAGCACACATGCCAGTTTTTATTGCATCATTCATATGCAAAATAACAGCTATTCTTTTTATTTTGTTTTATAAAAGAAATAAAAAGACTTGCTTCCTGTGGTGTGTGTAGTTATAAAGCACTTGGGGATTGGCAGAACACCCGAGAAGTGTTAAGAAGCACACTATTTTGCATCATGCTTCTCCTAACACTTCTCTCATGTTCTGCCAATCCCTGCCTGCACACAGCACAGCATACACACACATTTTGTATTTCTTAATGCATTGAAGGAATGCTTAGTTTGCATAGATATATTCAGTTCTGGATGCATTATATTTATATTCGGGAGGCTGCTAAGCTTGAAAAAAAGCATAAAACTTGCATAAGGCATAGCTGTGTGCAACCTCGCAATCAGAAAGTGTGTACCGAATTGAAAGTATATCGAATCGAAATAGGCGACCAACTTGAATAACTAGTGTTTTACCTGTCACTTTAAACTAGCGACTGACTAGCCTCTTGTAAATGTGAAAACGTTTTTATTTTCCACATAAACATGAGGCTAGTCAGTCGCTAGTTAGTGCAGAACAATAGTTATTTAGGTTGGTTGCCATATTTCTATTCAGTGTATATTATGAATATTGCTGGTTTCCCATAAGAAGGAGTTAGCAAAAAAAAAAAAAAGAGGGCCATGTTGGATGATATATATATATAAAAAAGAGAATACTGACGAATCTTTAGTAGTATAGGGAATGGGGGTTCCAGCGCAATCTCAACACGGGCAAGACCCGTGTCAAAAATCCACCTACGGACAATCCCCACTCCTAGTGTGGTTGGGGGCAACAGCGCAAATATGTTAGTCTATATATGGAGTGCGAAGA